TGAGACTAACAAAATAAAGAAATTCCAAGGTTGAATTGACTCTACTAGGACCTTATATATTAGAATGAACTAAAGAAAAAACAGGCTCTGAATGACTCTCAATACTACGAGGAAAGAAGGCTCGAGTATGTTTCCCGAGCTGACATGACTCACACTCTAATGTGAATAAACTAGACAAACTAGGCATTATCTTTTGAAGCTTGGATAAACTTGGATGTCCTAAACGTTTGTGAATTAGGTCCGGAGGATCTGTAACTAGACATGCCTTGGAGGAATTGGGTGAGTTAAGGTAGTAAAGACCTTCTGATTCAAGTCCTATTCCAATCGTCTGTCTCGTACTACGGTCCTGCATAATAAAAGAATCATCAATAAAATATATACCACAATGGAGGGCACGAGTCAACCGACTAACAGATGAAAGGTTAAAAGGACAGCCATGGACATAAAGAAAGGAATCTAGAGTGACAAAGGGCAGGGGATTCGCTTGTCCAACTCCTTTTGCTTTCGTTTGAGGCCCATTGGCTAAAGTAACAGTGGAAAGAGACTGTGAATACGCAATATTTAACAGAAGTGATTTATTATCAGAGATATGATCAGAAGCAGCTAAGTCTACAACCTATTGTCCAAGAGTACTAGACTGGGAAGTACAAGTAAAAGAATTTCCAGCAACAGAAGTATCAGTCTGAGCAACAAAGGCTACTTGTGGAGATGTTTGCTTACATACTTGATACTGAAGGTACTCATTATACTCCCCTTCAGATAAAGAAAATCTCTGGTTACCTGTAGTATCGGTCTGAGCAACATAAGCATTTTTGGGTGGGTGACCATGTAAAGAATAGCACACGTCATGAGTGTGTCCAAGTTTATGACAATAAGAGCACTTGGGTCTAGATCTTCCAAAACGACCTCCTCCTCGTCTATTCTCCATAGTATGAGATGCTCGATTGTCCACTGTTTGGGATGTGAGAACAGATGAGTCAAGTGTCTATGATGAGATCACTGGGTGACTTGGTGCTGCAGCAAAGCGAAGTAATCGAGAGAATAATTCATCAACTGTGGGGACAGACAGACTAGCCAAAATCTAATCACATACTGAGTCAAGATCATTAGGAATCCCAGCAAGAGTAAGAACTAAAAATATCTTTTGTCGCTGCTCTTGCTGCTTTTCAACACTAGCAGAAACTGGCAGCAACTTCTCCAATTCCTCCATGACTGTCTGTACTTGTCCTAAGTAAGTAGACATATCTAATTCATGTTTCTTTAAATTTGTCATCCGCGATATCACATCATAGAAATGAGATATGTCATAGTGTATAAAGTGCGAGCCTTTTCCCAAACCAAATAACATGTCTGGAATGGATGAAACAAGGACATCAACTTGGAATCAATAGATCGCCACAGAATACTCATAATTGAGCATCGATCTTCTCCTAAAGTGCTTTGGCCTTTTCATCTCCTTCACTAGACTTCGTGATTATATGATCTTGAAAACCTTGACCTTTACACCATAACTCAATTGACGAAGCCCAAGCTAAGTAGTTTGAACTTTCCATTAAAGGTTCTGAGGTAATCATAACACCAGTACTGCCAAAACCAGGGTTTTTAGACCTGAAAGCATTGACTCCCAAAGACATTGTTGGATTGAAGTGAGGTCTATAAAATTATCACCAAATAACAGAAAGAATCAATTAAAAACTCGCTAAACAGATGAAGGGAACACTGTTTTTGCCAAAAAATTACTGTAGCTGCCAGAAAAAATCAATGTAGTCGCCGAAAAAACTCAAAGTGATCGGAATAAAAAGAAAAAGGTATGGGTAGGCTCGGAATTACTAGGCGGGCAGGCCGTTCAAAAGAACTTTTTTCAAAATCTGTCCGGAAGAGGGAACACGCGTCGGTGCGTGTGATAGACGCGTTGCCGGAAGCAGATCTCTGACAGGCGCGTGGGGGCGCGTGGATGGGTATTTTCCGATGAAGTTTTCTGGGGTTTGGTCAGATCTCTCTTGGGAACCTTGTGGTGGTGTTGAATTTTGCACGACACTGATAGTGACTTTGACACAATCAGTCACTTAGGTCACCGGAAAATTTCACGGTGACTGAGTTCTTTCTTCCCGGATGTCGCTGGAATGACGTACAACGATCTCTTCTCACCATGCTCTGATACCATGTGAGAAAACACGGAAAAAAATATTATTGATATTATTCTCATATGTTAAACACGATACAATGAGCCCTATATATATACATAACATGTCTTACTCCTAATACATATGGGATTAGAGTTATTTACTACTATTTATATAACTATTCTAACAGAACTGACGTAATAAATAATTCCATTCGTGCTAGGTTGACTTGGAGAATTTGTAACAACTCAAATGCCCAATGGGTTTGAGATCTGTTCCACAAACATCGTATTAGCAGACAACCTACTAGGCACATGGCCTCTAGGACTTGGCTTAGCATTAGGAATGGGTGGAATGTGTGCAGTAAGGCTAACAGGTGGATTGTCAACAAGGGGAATAGAGTCAACCTTTACAATGATAGATGGATCAATAACTGGAGCCAATCAGAACCTTGGTTAATGGACCACTAAACAAGGAGGAAGAAACCTTGAAGGTTTCCACCTGTATGCAATATGGCATTTGGAACACTACCAATCTTTTTGTCACCCTCCTTGATAGTGTAACCAATGGGATCAGCTCCACTATCCCTAGTGCCAACAATGCAAACATTGATAGAATGGTGTTACATCTCGCGTTTTCGTACGTTAAAAGTTTCATCTTCAGTTAATTGACGTAGACTCGGGGATGAGAATATCTTGAGGTTAATGTATTTATGCTATTTATAACAAGCGATAAGTAAGTGTCATGAAGGATAAAGAGTACACGGATTAAAGAAAATGAGTTTCGTTGAAGGTTACCGATTTGGGATAAAATACGGGTCGAGCGATAATAATCGATATTTATGGACTAGTACCATACAAGGTACCATATGACCGTGATAGTATAATGTATAAAGTATATTAAAAATGAGTAGTACTTTTAGGTAATTTGAGATAATTCTTAATTATGCGGGTAATTAATTAATTATCGAGTAACGAGACATTACCTAGTTAATTAATAATTAGTAGATAATAATTAAAATCCCCCCCCCCCCAA